TACAAGTATTTTTTGGTATAAGTTTATAACATCTTCTGTTGGTTGTATTATCATTTTTTTTCAAGTGTAAGTTATATTTTAATTTTTTTTTCATTATAAAAATGTTTTTAATTAGTAAATAGTAGTCATATCATTATCTATTATCTAACTTGTTTTATATCATTAATTTCAGTAATATTTGTAAACTCTTGGTATTTATTGGTATTATCATATTCTAAAGCATGCTTATTGATGTTTATACTATATTTAAAATTACAATATATTATTAAATATACATACAATATAATTATAATATTAGCATGTAAATATTATTTTATTACACTTTCGTGTTTTATTTGTCGGCTTTTTCAAATGTGATTTGAATAATTTAGATAATATATACTTATGATAATGATAATTTAACCGTGAGCCTATACGCACACACATACACACACTTGTATCTATATATATATATATATATATATATATATATACATTGTGTATATATACACAAATCCAAGCATCTACCATTTAATATATATATATATATATATATATATATATATATATATATATATATGCGTGGCACAAAGATTCCATTTGACTTCTAGTAATTATACTGCCTAAACTAAATGAACTACATGGAACATAACATGTATCAACAAACAAGTATCGAACTAAGTTCAGTAAAATTCCTATTTTTTTAAATTTGCATTTTTACCCCATGGGCAGGGTAAGATTTCCCAAACTAAGAAACATTTATAGAATTTTGTTTATTGCAATTTTTCTGAAATTTGTCAACTGTCTCTTTTTACCCCATGGATTCAATAAGATCCCCCAAGCCAGGGAGCAAATAGGTACAATGTCTTTTTTCAATTTTGAAGGGATGTTACGAAAAATAGCTACACTATTTAACCAATGTAAAGCTTAAATTTTATTTGAATATTTTTTCCAAAGCTCTTATTGTACATAGCCTTGATCTGGTATTTCGAAAGAAATATTCATCAACAGAGGTCGAATTACCATTAATTTAATTTACCTTTCATTTTGTAAAATTTATTTTTTTAACTTAATTTACTTCATTATTTACCACTTATTATTGAGAAAATTAAGATGACGAATAACATTTATTGTATTTAAAAAAAATTATTTAGTGATGTATTGAGGCTCACTCAATTTTAGACATTGAAAAGATATTTCATGAATCCTCCAAAAGATCATAATTAATATTAAGCACATGATTTAAATAATGTCCCCAATGCATGATACAGAAGTATGTTTTTTATGAAATAATATATTTGTATAAATCTGCATTCTCATGGGCAAGTAGCCCATATGCATTTTCAAAAAAAAAAAATATTTTGTGTTTTTGGTAAAGATATAATTTTGTAATAATAATTAATTTAGTAATAATTTTTTATATTATTAGTTTTTATATTTTAGTTAAAAGTATAAATTATAAATGATATTTATTAACTCTAAGTCTAATTAAATCTCATTTAAGTTTAAGGAGGTATGACTCAAAATTAGAAGTAAAATTAATTTCAGGGCCTAATAAGTTTATTGCGTAAAGTCAATGGTACGAATCTTCAGGAAATAAATTTTTAATGAAATTTTATTATTGTGTTTGGCTAACATAAAGTTTCTGAAAGCGTTAAAAATAGGGCAAAATAGGACAAAAACAATTATTTTATTTTTATCCGGTATAGCTAATATTTTAATTAATTGAAAAAGAGAAAAGGAGATAAATTACATATAAAAATATTATCAAAATATTACTGATGGTATGTGAATATGGAGTCATATGCTTTATTGTGCATTACTTTTGTATTTATATTGCAATAAAATAAATAAATACAAAATCTTGAATTTGAAAAAAATATATATCTGCAGTAAGGTATGTAAATGTGGTAGCTTCAATAGTAAAATTCTCCTCGCACTCGATGTGTTTAATTAAATGTGTTTTGACGGAGGTAGTTTATTTTTTTAACTTGTCCATCGTACTGATGTTAGTTTTGTAGAAAGTGTTTAATTTATTTTATAGCTTTTCCACTCGGTTGCGCGGAAATTAATTACGCTAAAATATACTCGAAATTAATTTTATTTTTAGTTCATTTGCGATAAAAACTATATTTAAACTTTTAATCAATGATAATTAATTAATATCTTCATATTATTCTTTGTAATTTTGACCTTTCACAACACTACTAATTTAATAAATTTTGATCATAAACCCATACCACAATTTTTTTGTTGAAAGCACTCGTGAAAAATTGTAATTGATTGTTTTGCACTTGATTTGCAATTACAAACAAGTCAAAAGTTTTGCATATTCGTGAGCAATTTTGTATGAGTGCTTTTGACAAAAAAATATTGATAATGATTCATAAATCAATAAAAAAGTGAAATTCATTTTTTTTATGTAGAAATGACAAATTTAAAATAATAGTCAAAGTAGAATCAAAATTACTTTTTAATTTTTTTTTCTTTTATTAATTACAATCTGTCTTATACAAAAAATACATTCAATAATTTTGGGGATATATGGATAATTAACATTTATTCTAAAATGGAACACATTAGTACGCCCAGAACCAAAATTAAATAATTTTATCTATGTAATAAAATTATCATTTATTTTATAGATTCATGTGGCAAAAATACACACACACACACACACACATATATATATATATATATATATATATATATATATATATTACATCATAATAAAGTGAACAGATATATTTCAATTTAAAATCTGATTCAAAGTTTATTTTTATGGCTATGAGCGAAGAACTAAATCCTCTCGACATTGGAAATATCATGTTTTATTGTCATTGTTATTAAAATATTAATTATGCAAACCATTTGCACAATATCGATGATAGTAATAATATTATATTATATTACATAGCACTGCATTGATATTGTGTTTATTCAATGTTGTTTATATAATCATTTTCCAATATGGAGCAATATATTATTCAAATTTATTAAAATGACATTGTATTGAATTCGCTGAATTTATCAAATTGATGGAAAGAGAAATCGAAATTATATAGTGGAATTGAATAGAATTAAAAATTATAAGGAATATGAAAATAATAAAAACATATTAGTTGTGGGCAGGTAAAAAAATTTACATAATTAATGATTCAATGTGATAAATTAGCTATTATGAGAAGTAATAGATTAAGTAAAAGATTCTGAATTGTTTGTCAATGAATTCTTGGCATTGATTTGAATTCAGTTCAAGTTTTTTTTATGAATATGACAAAATATTTAGTGATTTTATGGATAACAGTTTCCAATACGATAAAATTGTTACTGAGAGCCGTATCATGGAAATTGTAACTAATAAAACTAACTTTAGATTATTATTAAGATGTTAAACTAATATTATAGCAATTCAAGCGATTTTAATTATTCATAAAACAAATGATCTGCATTGACGTTACGAATAGTAGATTTGTTTTTCGAAAAGGCAGGTCCAGAAATTTCGGAGACACGTGATTTTAAAAAGATGAACAATTTTTATTGCACTTTTTATTTCTTTACTAATATTTTACATATTCAAAATTCACTTCTATAATTCATTAATTTTCAAGGGACACTATTGCACATATCGGAGGTGTCGGTGGAGTGCCAAAAATATGAAGCGATTTATACTTTATTTAATTTTTCTTTCTAGCTAAGAATTTTCAAGAATTTATATTTCTATATACTTTTTTATGTACTTTTTTTACTTTGACTTATCATAGCTTTTCATTCTAGCAAGCAAGTTATTGAGTAAAAAGTAAATACAATATTTATAAGAATAACTAACTAGATCTAAAAACTAAATTCTTCTCACAATCAGACTCACAATACAAATGCTTAATTAAAACTTAAGTTTGCTTGGGTGATTAAATGTTTTAGTACTAAATTATTTATATATTTTTAATTTAGTCGGAAAGAGAAATTTCTGACTATCCTTTAATAAGTTTGGTGTCATAGTCGAGAATGCCAGTTTTTTTCCTAAACTCTTCAAATTTTTGAGATTTTTCTATTTTTTAAATTTTGGACTCATTATAGCTTTCATGCCAGCGATTTGTAAAATGTAAATATAATTTAAAAAAAAAACAATCAGACTCATGAAGCAAATGCTCAGTTTAAACTTAGGTTCGCTAGAATGATTAATACCATTGTTTTTTTTTTATTAATAATAATACATCTTTTAATACTATTTTTTCTATTTTTTTGTAATTCTGAAAAAGGGTTAAAATTATAGCATTTATTGAATAATAACGTAATAATAACTCGTTAATAAACTTGTGTGTTAAGTTTCACCTAGATATTACATAGCTCTCTTAACTAGTTTTGCAATAAGTTACAATTTGTAACTGACTCTTTTCTTTGGTAAAAATAGCATTCTGTTTTTTTGTTATTTAAATTAAATAAAATCCATAAATTTATATAATTTAGAGCTCGTTTAATGCACATGGAAGTTATTAAATTTTGTTCAAAGGAAAAACTATTTTATAAAATTAATTTGAAACCTAATTTAAAATATTACAAAATTACTTACAACTTGTTAGTTGTCAAGTCTATTATATAGTTTGCTACTACGCGTTAAGAAACAGTTGTAATTGTTTCGTTGAAAATGTTTGCTCTACATATTTGTAGAGAACAAAGTTATTACTTTGTTCAAAAGATATATTTTGAGTTATACCTGAAAACAACTATGACGAAATAAATGCAATAAATATATAAATAATTTGAAATATCTTATTAATTAGTAAAATTAATCACAACTACTTATAACAAATACTGATTGTTCAAAGCTGTTCAAAAATTCTAAACTGCTAGACAATGATTATAACCTAAATATGCTATTATTATTTGAATGATATCTTTTTCCAGAATATATTATATCATATCATTTGTAATTGTAAGAGATTATTACGAACTGTTTCCATGCTTGTCAAAACACTTTTTTACATACAATTTTTGTTAATCTTATCTTTTCTTTGTTGCAGGTTTGCCGACAATTTACGCTGCAAAGAGTTTGATGTGACTGTAAGTTTCAATTTTTTTTTTGTACTGATTATACTTTGTTTGCTTCTATGATATCCGTTTCAATTGTATAAATGCAGTGGTGGTGCAATATCGAAAAATACTCACAATTATTCTTACACCGTTGGACTAAATATCGTTACCAATATTACTAGATAAACTAGCTGTAAGTGGAATTCTGTCTTAAGGCAATTAAGGCATCGTGCCTTAAGGCAAATTGCTGGAACTTCCCGTACCAAAAATTATTATTTTTTTAAAAACGATTGACATTTTTAAAAAAAAATTACTTCGAAAAAATAAGATGTTTAAGAAACTATAAATTGGACAAAAAATTACTTTTTTTTGAAAAAAATTTTTTTTAAAAAAAATTTTTTTTAAATTTTTTTTTTGTTTTTTTTTTTGAAAAAAATTTTTTTTTTATTTTGACATATTGTGGAAGATCTGAACTTTCTTTTCAAAGCAATCGTACTGCTTTAACTGCATAGGGACAAAATATAAAGCGCGTAAGCGCCGCGTCGCTGTCTAACGCATAAGCATTGGTACGGAACCCATAGGAATGTTAACAAAATGTATACTTATTGTTAAAATCTCTATAAAATATCTGATAATTTGATGTGCATATGTCTAATGATCATTTTTGACCGCCAAATGGCTCATTTTTTTACTTTTTCCTCCATATATGCGAAACCGCTAGAGCTACCTTCATGAAAATTTTATCGATTCTTAATCTTGTCAATACAAGTGAAATGTTTTTTGAATTATTCAAATCGGACGCTCCGTTCTCTCAAAAACTGAGTTACCGTTTTCGGCACTTTTTGCCCCGTATCTTCGGAACGGCTAGACCTGCCTTCGCCAAAAACTAATCAGCACGTCTCCTTATTAATACGAATCGAATGTTTTTTGAATTATTCAAATCGGTTGATCCGTGTTCCCGAAATCGTCGACGAAAATTTGTATCCGCACATACATACACACACGTACATACATACGTACATACACACACACACACACATACACACACACACACATACATCCATTTTTTCTAAGGTATGCCAAAATGTTCAGAAACCTCTGAAACGTAAAGATATATAAAAATTTTCATTTTCGATTTTTTTGCGATTACTATAACTTACCCTACGGGAAGTTAAATATTTGCTTTAGAACTCCACTTTGGGCAATTTGACATTGTGCAGTAACGATGTCCAATTTTACTTAAATATATAGATCAATATTATGTTTCTAATTGAAAATAGTCGATTTGGGACACTGCGGTGCGAAATGGCAATGGAAAATCTCACACACCATCATTATTCCTAGGGCAGGCAGTACTACCCGTTATAAATAGCTAACGTTTTTATTATTTTAAATAATGAGAAACATCGATAATTCATTTAAATCTCTTGAATTTACCTAGCATGGCTTACTATTTATACATTTTTAGTATACCGTCATAAACTTGAATCATATGTTTAGTTTAGTTATTTGTAAATACTCGACATAATCACGAATTGAGATTACAATATAATTATTGCAACACACCTGAGTACGTGTATATGAAAATAAATAAAAACATATAGGCTATATAAACAGATATTATATTAATATATTTATTATAAATTCAAATATGTATTATAGATTCAAATTATATACAACAACTGCCCTTATACTTGGAGAAATTTGTACTTGGAGCTAGGCGTAATGCCATTTTTACATGTGTAAATTATCGAAGTTGGACTATCGAAAATTCTGTACTATCGGTCGATAATTATGAAAATAATTAAGTTAATAATTAAACTACCAAATCAATAGGAAATACAAACGACAAAGCTCATTGTACGATTAACACAACAATCGAATCCAATCCTTTGTAAAATGTAGGGGTTACGTATTTCGTAGAACATACTTCGTTAATGAACCAAGGCACAATCAAATTTACCATGGAGACAACTATTACTGAATAGTGAGTTCTTTCGCATGAGTCCAAACTATCCCGAAATCTCCCGAATTTTGAAAAAAAAAACGAAATTATCGAAAAAAAATCGGACTATCGGGCTCTTCGAACTGTCGGGTGCCGGACTAAAAGACTTTTACTGTACGTACTAATTTACGAGTAGTTTATAAGTTGCTATAAAGCATCATAATATGCAGAAACTGTTGCAAATGATTAAATTTTTTGCAGAATTTTGAAATCGGTTTAGCCGTTTTTGATAAAATTTGAATGCAAGGTGAAAAATCGGCTCATATACACACACATTCTTCTTCCAATTTGATCTCAAACAATTCAGGAGGATTGAAACGTCGAGAAAACATAAAATTAGCAAATCGTATTTTCTGAGAATTTAAGTATCTTTTAGGATTATTATCATTTAAATTATTTAATACAATCAGAGCAGCAATTTTCATTATCATAACGCATTAGATGTTATATTAAATTTTGATATGCTATATGTTTCAATGTAATTCATTATATTATTTTTAAGGCATTCATTATATTATTTTTCGCATAAAGTTCTGCGAAAGATTAATAATATATTATTTTTCACAAATAATAGTATCTTTGTCTTGAGGATACTTAATATCGGAATTCACATCTCTTTCTCATTTTAAATATGATATGGTGTTTTTTCATTGCGCAGCATGAAGAATTTTTTAACAATATGATTTTTAATACATATTTATTTGTTAATGTAAAATAATTATTGAAAGATTTCATAAACTTTGTTAAAGATTTTCAAGTTATTTTAAGTAAATAAATCAAGCGAGTATTCTTCATCTTCTTCATATGTTGTGGATTAATCGCAGAATTGAAAGTCATTTAATTAAATATATAAATTATTATTATATATTAAATTTGAGCACTTGATTTTTTGTGTCAAATCCTTTTAAACAAGTTTCATGAACACAATTAGCGTTGTCTATTAAAAACATGTCTCTCTCGTATATGTGTTGCTAATTTTAACAATATAACACAATGAACGTCTAAAAAGAAAATAGATCAAGTCTATAATTTTGATTCTCCTTCGATTTGCTTATTTATGCAGAAGATAATATGTATTATTTTCACATTTCAGCGATTTATATAACGAAACCACATTAAGGGGGTTGTTCTTTTTTTATTTTTTTTTGTTTCGGTTTTGAGATTTTTTGATATTATGAAAGATAAAAACATTGGAATCATTTCAAAAAAAAAATCATCTCAATATCTATTTTTTTGACGAAGTTATAGATATATATATCTCTATATGTATGATCCTCTGAAACCGTTTTTTTTATCGCTCCGCGAGCTATTGTATGCCAGATTCCTCTTTTTCATTATAATACCTCATGCACATGACCTTTTTAATGTGTCAGCATCTTTGAACACCATGGTGTATTTAGTACATTAAATTAAATGGTGTGTTCAGTACATTATATTAAGAACTTTAAATACGTTTTTCTCAAATTGACTTTTTTCAATGCGGTGCCACAAATTAAACAAAAACTACAAGTCGGATCGACTTGAATTTTTTTTAAATTTGTTCACCACGGCAATACCGAGTCCCCCTACCTCAAACAACTTGATAACATTACGCAAAAAAATTTTGCGAAGCTTCTCGTCCCAAAAAAAGGCCTTTTTTGACACTTTTTTTTAAATAGCTGCCATTTTTTTCCTTCTTGCTTTTTTTCTTTTATTTTGGTAGGGGGACTGGAAACAAACTTCTTCTTCAACGTAATTTCTTTTTTTTTTGTTTCGGGCGATGCGCAACGGATTTATCTGTGGCACCGCAAAAGAGATCGATTTTGCAAGACCGACTTTGGCGCCCCCTGGTTAAAAAATGACGGCGCAAAAAGAAAAGAAGAAAATCACGTAATATTCTATGATTTTGTAATTTTTGTTTAAAAAAAACCGCATGTCGCTATGATAAATACATTTCGAGAAAAAACAAAAACAAATACCTTGCATTTTTTGTAACGAAAAAAGAACAACTCCCTTAAATTATACCATTTGCAAATAAACAGCTAAATATTGTAGTGGTTCTACTATTGAAAATGCAAATATGAGTATGCAAATATGCAGTTTACATTGCATTTGCATTTATCGCTAAACTTGTGGGATTAATTATTCGAATGCGTGAAAAATATTTTAATATATTTTAATTAATCATTTATATAATGATAAAGAAATGATGAGTAATGAATTGCATGTGTTTTAATTATGTTGATTTTGTACATCCGTACGTTTGTCATTTTTGGAATTATTAAATCGTATTTTACCATATTTCAAGTGATATGAAAACTCAAAAATTTTTAAGAAAGAATGGAGATTTCTGTAAAAGAACATGGAGATATTACAGTTTACTAGTTCTCACTGATGTATCTTTTATTTAACAAGGTTGTAATTTCAATAAATCATTTATGTACTAACAATAAGTAATTTTAAATATAAATTTTTATCTTCAGAAAATGAATATGTTATCCAATATATTAAAAAGTTAAATACATAATGTCTATCTGCGGAATTAAGAAAAGTATTTAAATATTTTTTATTATAAATAAAATATATTTGCATATTATTTATAGAAAATGTATTTAAAATTTCAATAATTAAATGATAATTTATGCTTGTATATGCCATTATTATTTCTATATTGATTATGATTATTTAGCCAAAATGTATAAAATTCACCATTCTGTATCGTGTGCAATTTAGCACCATAACATACAATGAATTCGAAGTAATTTATTTTAATAATAATATTTTAACTTTTCGTAGTCTGAAAAAAAATCAAACATGGAAATTTTTGGGTATCTTTACATTTCGAAGTCTTTTGAACCTTTCGGCATACCTTACTTGTTAGAAAAAAATGATGTATGCATGTATGTTTATTTGTGAGTAGTATGTATGCATGTATGTGCGGATACAAATATTTGACAACGATTTTGAGAGCATAGATCAACCCATTTGAATGTTTCAAAAAACATTTGATTCCTAGTGATGGGACGTATTGTCAGTGATATGTTCA